TTTCAGTCGAATCGTCCTGCCTATTACTGTCGAAGAGGTAAGTACTGTATTTTTCACTTGAGTTCTTACAGGTGCTTCTTTATGCTTTATATTTATGAAAAGATTCTATTTTAGTCTAGTCATAATTTGAAAAGTCCTCTTGAGGCTAATGGATGTATTTTTGGCATAATTCTTCTGTTATTCCAGTTTTCCAGCCTCCGCCCAGTTTCTTCTGATGGGCCGGACAGTTTAGACGTTAAAATTATGAATTGAAACAAACAGTCTGAGGTTTGTGGGAAAGTGGCCTAGTTAACTGCAGGCCTGTATATAGTGGACAAGGACAGACTGTAACTAATTGTAACCTGAGACCGAGCTTATCAGACTTTATCAAGTGTACCATCTTTGCTCCAGCTTAATAAACAAAGGCTGAATTTGTTTTGTCCCTGTCATTTCTTGCCCTCCCTGTTGCAGTATTTGTTGATGTTGGCTGGTGTGTTTTTACCCTGAATATTTGAATATCTTTTTCTGTATCTGTTGTGTTTGAATAAGAAATCATTGTTAAAGTCAGTTGTTCTTGGATAAACAGCAGTAAAGGTTTGACATGTGTAGTTGCATTCCTTCCTGTTCACCTGCGCAAAAGACCATATAATAATATACATATATAATAATGTTATAATATACATTTGTAAGTCGCTTTGGATAAAAGCGTCTGCTAAATGAAATAATACAGACTGCTGGAGAATTGAACTAGTACCCAACCAGCTGAAACAGGAAGCATGTTACATTGTGGTTTTGTAGACATACCGAGTGTAGATGCAGACAGAGGGCAGGGGCTGCTGGGAGCTGCATGACTCATTTCTGTATGGAAGTCAGTAATTTATACTGGCTTAATGAAAACAAGTGTAATTACGAAAAATGAAATGAAGCTTTTGACTGCACAGTATTTCAGTAGCTTAATATCAGTTATCGGTCGATATTTGAGTTTCTTTTAATCAGTATAATCGATGTTGGATATTTAATTGTGCATGCATATTTTGTCTATTTTTATATTTAACTTATCATTGCCGTCATCTAATATCGTCATCTACACAAATAGTGTACATTTTAATATCTACCATTTATCAATTATTAGTCAGACTCATTATGTAAAAAATAATTATCGACTTAGAATTAGCCAGAACTTTTCCCTTTTTCATACTGTACATTATAATTTCAATGTCTTCATAAATTAATATGTAGCATTTAAAATGTATTGTTTTTAGTGTTTTATATTTATGTAAAAATGGTATTGATTTTTAACATTTTATCGGTTTTATGTCATAACATTAAAATTATCGGTTGATTTTCGCAGCTAGAATTTGAATAAAATGTTTCGAATTTGTATCCGAAGACTCAAACTACTCAAATATTTTTCTACTCCTACTGTGTTGGGCAGAAGCTGGTCAGAGTTGGAGAACTAGAGATGCACATACATTTGCTACAAGCAGTTTCCCTCTTTTCTATCATCAGTTTATAGGGTTTGAACACTTCCTCTATAATTGTGTCCGTTTGTTTATGGCACACCAGCCTGTATATGGCTATTTGTCTATGCAGATGTTGAATCCGCTCTCAGCACCGTACGCAGCCATGACATGCAAATGCACAACTTGGCAGAATACACTCACTTTCAATGTGTATTTGTTTGTCATTAAGACATGTGTTATACTGTAATTTGCATATGATATGACCAAGTGAAGTTAACATTATTCTCTCATCTGCAGTACCAGGTGGGTCAGCTGTACTCCGTAGCAGAGGCCAGTAAGAATGAGACGGGCGGTGGAGAAGGGGTGGAGGTCCTGAAAAACGAGCCCTACGAGAAGGAGGATGGAGAGAAAGGACAGTACACACACAAGATCTACCACTTGCAGAGGTAATAATCATAATATTAACTATTAAGTACTGTGGTCTGTATCGTAGTACCATGGTATTAGCATTTTTTTTGTAAGGGTCATCTCATGTGGTGTCGACAAGCAGAAAAATTGCTCATAGTCTGTATTTCACAGTTTCTCTCTGTGATTCTCAATCTCTGTCTTATGCAGTAAAGTGCCAACTTTTGTACGGTTACTGGCCCCTTCATCTGCCCTGAGTATCCACGAGAAGGCCTGGAATGCTTATCCTTACTGTCGCACAGGTACCGGCCACAATAGCACAGCTTTACTGAATATACAACAACTGTACATTCATACATGACTGATCTATTAACCCCTTAACTGTCACCGTCCCACCTGTGGGACGCTTGGCGCTCTTTTTTTGTTGTTGTCCTTTTTCTCTATCAAATCTTTTAGTAATCATCATAAATTATATATCATTTGAAAGCTTAGAAGCCCAAGATTCATCCTGTGAAAACCATTTTGAAATCGGACATTGCGTTACCATGGAAAT